ATGTCCTCGGATACGGCATTAATGTATTTTTCCCAGTCCTCTCTTACGCGCTACACTGAAGCAGAATCAATCCAACATTTCTGTTTGTATGGACACAGTGTGGTGGTGAAGAGAAACATGGCCACAGTCTGTGACATCACCAATGGGTTTTCGAAGAGACATTTTAAAACGTTTGGAGCAAAAAAAAGGAAAAAAAAAAAAGACAACTTTGGGTGGCAGGTAGGAGCCCGAGTTGAGCTGAGGATGGACGAGTAAACAGCAATCACTGCTCACGGACTCTGATACGTGAAGACACCTGTCAATCAAGGAAGACACATACAGTACCTCTCTGTAAGCCTTATTACCTCTCAATGAAACAACTAAATGATACAGAGAAACACTAAGATAACTGAAGGTATCAGATGTGAGTTGGGGGTGGGGGTGTGGGGAGGTGGCGGTTGATTTTCTTCCTGGGGTCGACTCCTCTGGTGCGTACATTCCTTCCGGCTCGATGGAGGCCTAATGCGAGTGTGGAAAAGTGGAAAATTTAATTAGGCTGCCAAGGGGGGTTTGTGTCACTTGGCATGAGCCACACCCCCCCCCCCCCCCCACCCACACACACACTACCACCATTAGCCCCCCCCACACATACACTCTCACTCACCCTTTGCTCTTAACTCGTTTGCTGCAACAACCCCCTCTGTTTGTATTTGTACCCATAGTCCTGCGGGACATGACCCGCTGGTCCAAAGGAGCAGATAGAGGTCAGCAGTTTACAGCTGCACAGAGGTTGTGAAGCGGGCGAGACCTGACGGTGGTGGAGCTGCCACTGAGCACTGATGTGCGGTTACACTGAAGCAGTGTGGCTGCTGCGCGGAGAGACACCGACCTCCATTTTCATCTCGCTGCTTGTGTGACATTAAAACGAGAGGCTCACATGTAGGCTTTTGAAAAACGGTTTATGTGGAATTACAGTGGTAAACAGATGCGCACACATCAGGGTGGAAAAGATATGAGCGAATACTGTAATAATAAGAGGCCAGGAGTTTGTATCTGCTATTCTATCACTTATTTCAAGCCCATTTGTGTGTAGCTTCAATTTTGTTTTGGTAAGGTTTTGCAACTCCCCAAGTTGGACATTTGGCTTTATTCTCTTTATTGAGCCCCCCTCATCCACATACCAGTGTGCACTCGGTGCGCATGTGAGCAAGCGGAAGAATTTAGGATGAAGAAAACAAACAGTTGAAGCGTTGCCTTGTCTCCACCGCTCCATCCCGCTCCAATTTTCGATCACACTATGAATAGTTCCATCAAAGTCTAAAGGTTTGTGAAACAGTCATGAAATGCAATCTTATGGTTGCATGTACGGTGGGTATGTCCTTCATTCATCTAATCTACTTCACACCTGGCGGGTGTATTGCTGGGGGCTCAAGGAAGTGTAAATTGGTTCAATATGGCCAGATAGGGGCGCCATAACAACAAACTTTACGTTTTGGCTCGCAACTTTTTAACCGAAAGTCTCAGAAACAACAATCACCCTTTCCTGGATTCTGTGGGTTCAGACCAATCTAACCATATAAGACGCATAGCTACGTTTTTGGATCTTTGACGTTCCAAACAGTTTTGCGATAGCTGGCCCTCAAAGTCAGCTCAAATGCTTATATTACAAAAAATGTCATATCTCCTGAACACTTTGAGCTATTGGGGCCACAAATTATGGACATGTGATGTCTGAGGGACCATGACAAAAGTAGGTGCTATTCAGTCAATAGGTGGTGATGAAGCAGCATCATCTTATTACAAATCAAGGAATCTCTGTCCGTCTTTAAGTTTGTGTGTGTGTGTCCTTTGCGTATCTCCAGAACTGTTTGTCAGATCTACTTCACACTTGGCAGGTGTATTGCTGGGGAACAATGAATGTGCACCGTAGAAGTTGGTGCACGACCCATATGATCAAATTTTGAAAAAAAGCATTCTATGCAGAAGTGGAGGCGGGGCTTCAGGGCTCTGTGGACTGAGTCCAACTTGTCGTCCGCAGCGGGCCTGTGAGTTCACTGTTGCTGCTGGATGTACTAACGTTACAACCAAGTCGTCCTCACTTCCCTGGAGTCAAAGGGTGATGGGCGATTCTCGAGGACGCAGCAAGCAGCACTTCTAGGGGCCGAGCAATCCGCCTGCTCCAAACAGGCACTGCATTAGTACTGTAAAGCTGGCGAACAGCAAATTAGGATTGGAATGGAGTATTCAATCGAACACAAGTCAGACGCAGCTCGCATATTGTAGCTCATGCCAATGAGGTAACAATCTGAATGGAGAATTTGTTGCATTTCGCTGCTTCAAATTCAAAAACATGAGATGTGGTATTTAAATTTGACTGCAGACACTATTGGCTGCAGTGTGAATCCTTAAGACTGTGGAGGTTTGATTCATTTCAGCAGCACATCAAGTGTCTCTTTGTTAAAATGTTATTGGAAGATGCTTAGGAGGACAGAAAACTTTAATTTCACGCAGACAATGTGCAGAAATAACATTCGACGTGACACACTAAACTGACGCCCGAGCCGTTCTTCATCATGTGGCTGCATCACATCTGCTCAGGCTCAAAAGAAAAGTTTCCCTTAACTTCCAATGCATGGATATTTATTTTTCAGAAGGGGGGCGGGATGGCGGGTAGAGGGTTGAAGGAGTCTTGTCACATTACATGTACCTGTCTGTGCACGTCTTCACTCGCAGCTGTCATCTCACCTGACAGGTCTATCAGTGTCCACGGCTGATCAGAACGCGTCCCTCAGCCTGACAGGCTGAACCGACAGCGCGGCAATCCAGACTGACAGCTCCTCAGGTAGCTGGTGGAGGGGGGTAGGGGAGGTGGAAGAATCTGGGGGGGGGGGGCGAGAGGCAAGACAACGGCCGCTGAGGAGTAAAAGAAGAACACATGCAACCACGACAAGGGGAGTAAATTAAAGTGCCGCTTTGCTGAATTTCCTCAAAACCATCTGATAATGAAGTGCTCCTGAGATGACGCTTTGTAACTCAGCGATTGTTGCCAGACATTACCTTTAAAACCGCCATAAAAGCCCAGAATCCTCTTTATCGTGGAAAGAAACGCAGGGTGCCAGTTTGACTATTTTTAAGCAAATTGAGTCTCATCGTTTTACGACAAACACATTGAACCGAGGCCAAACCGCTCCGTTAACGCGGAGTTGTACGTGTTCCAGAGAAAAAACACCTGCGGGATGTGCTTTGGTTTAACCCATGAAAGGTTTAAATCGAGTGTCTATGATCACACCTTGGGGGGGGGGGGGGAGCCCCCTCTCAGCTCATTCCCCTCTTTCGACAAAAAATAAATAAATCTGTCTTTATCTTGTCAAAAGCCATCGAAAACAAGCCCATCCGGAACGCCTCGACGACACGAGGGCGAGACAAAACGGGAGAAACCTACGAGCTCCAGAGCGAGGACTCATTTGATCGGCTTAGCCACGCTCTCCTGGCTTCTCATGTACGAGGAGTAATTAGCAATTAACAATCGGGGTTTAACGAGATCCAGTTATTATCTGTAAGCAAGAGGGGGGGGGGACTTTTGAGTTGGGACTGCATTATAATTCCCATGCTACTCGAGTTTGACATGAAAAAATAAATATATAAATTTAAAAAAAAGAGCGAGGGACCCAAGCAGTAATTCTCTCATTTTCACGACATCTCTGGGCCATTTTTTTTCCTTCTTCTTAAATTCCCAGATCAAACAGGCTGCAACAAAAGGCCCCAAATCCCCACCCCCCCTGCTCTCCTCCTTCTCCTGCTCTCTCTTTCCAAAATTAGTTAAGCCTCTCAGCTCCATCATCCTCAACATGGCTCGCATCAACAAACCCTACGCTGCATCGCAAATGCTGCATAGCCTCAGAAATCAATCCATCTCTCTCTCTCTCTCACACTCACACACACACACACTCTCCTCATGCAACCCCCTCCCTCTAAACACGCAAAAGATGAGGGGGGGGACAAAACTTCTCATATGTCACTCTGAATTTGTACTTACAGGCTAAAACACATAGTACCGCCACAGCCACTGAAGTTTGTGATTTCGCCCCCCCTCTTTCACTTGGCTAACTGTTTGTCTTTGTCTTTTCCGGGGGAATATGTTCAGTCAGAAGGCTGCTGAAAACAAAGAAAAATACAAAAATAAAAATCATGCGAGGATGACAGATGGGGTGATTCGGACGCGGAGACAGGAGAGGAAAGTAAACAATCTGGAATAAGGCCGCTGTCCGCCTTCATCGCGCTGACACATTCCGGCCTTTTGGTTGCTACTTCTGATTACCTCATCCTCTGCCACTACCCCGGCTGTTTACCATCTCCACTCACAAGGTGGTGATTCAGGATTTTCAATTTCAACTTTCCCTCCCTCTCTGTTATCGTCTTTCCACGGGCGAAGCGTCCGCGCCAGCACTCCCGCCCTTTAACGTGCACCTTCCCTTTACTCTTCAAAAGTTTACGGCGACTGCTCGCTCCGACTTCTGAGGTGAAGCGGGGGCGCCTGATGCCAAAAGCTGACTCGGAGGGTTGTTGCCCAGGAAGAGGTGCTCGTTGCTGAGCTCTTAAGTGATCCTGTTTCACACACTTGTCAGTTCCTCCAGGGCTGGCAGGTCCTCCGCTGCCTCCGAGCTAGCTGCTTTTCAGGGCTGTCACCGGAGTGGTTAACGTTAATCTAATGCTAATATTCGTGTTCGCTCGTTCCCTTGAGCTGAGGACACCTGCCTCTTCAACAGACAGGCCTCTGGTAGCATCAAGGCTGTTAGCATCCATAGGTCACTCTTTACTTCGTTAGCCGTCCTGCCTGTCTCACCTCGAGCTACACAGAGGAGTAAAAACAAATCCGAAACGCCACTCAATCGCCCCGCTCATCCTCCGAGGAGAAATGACCATTTCATCTTCAACCAATCCTGAAATCGAGTGCCGGTCCAGCAAAGCGTGAACTCATCCGGACCACAACCCCCCCCCCTCCCATCAATTTAATCATCTCCCGTCCACAGATTTCCAAGCTAATTATTCCAGCCTTTAATTATTCCACCCGACTGCCGTTGAGATCTCTTAAAGACGGCCGGATTAGTGGATTTTGGAGTATTAGCTCGGAGGGTTGGCAGACCTCTGCACTGTGATTCAGGGGAGCTGAGAAGCGCATCTTCAAAAGGTACCTTGAGCAGCACCTCCACGGGATCATTACACGGTATAAATCCACGTTAAGTTGCTTAAAAGCGTGTAAAGGTGAGCCGTGTTTAGGCGCAGCCACTTTTGAGGGAGGAGGCTAACCGAGTGTGACTCGTACGTCGCGACGGTGACACAGTTTAAAGCCACTTTGGGGAGGAATTGTTTACAAGTCACTTAAAGGGCTTATGTCAACTTGGGTCAACATCAAGGCCTGAGGGGAAACTTCCATGATTTTTTTTCCTTTCTCCAGATTAAATTGGCACACTTTACACACTGCAATGTCACGCTCTGTGTTCAAAGAATTGATTTAAGCTACCACCTTTCAAAATCAAATGAGTCAATCACCCTTTGTAAACTAATTGTCGATTCAGATTTTGCAGGCTGAGATTCACACAGAAGGGTTAACCCTAAGTTCACCGCTATTGAAAATCCATCGCTGCGTTTGGAGTGCAGTCGTGATGTCTCCGGTCGACTGCCAAGTTAAAACTGCTCATGCTCGTTAAAGATGCTACCCCTCCTCTGAACTCCCCACCCCAGAACTCAACATGGAGAGCAGCCCGTCCATTGGCTGACAGACAACTGAGACGTTTTGAAAGCAGGTCGGGAAAGGTTAGAGCAAGGAACATGGAGCGGGGCGGTGAAAAAGACAAAAAGAATCTTGCTTTTTAAACAATTATTTTATTAGGAGCCTTGATGCTATTAAAATGCCCCAGATACATTCACCCTATAGTTCTCAATTAGACCTGACAGCTGCTGCATTACCAACAATAAATATAGCAAAGGGCTGCACCTCAGGCCGGGAAGGACCCCTAACTATGACCCTGATATTTAATGATGAAAACAAGCAAGCGCATGCATGTGCACATCCACGCATGGGCTTGTGTGCGTGCACACACACACTCTCTCTGTGCTGTGGCTCCTTATTACACAAGCGCATTAGGGGCCTGTGAAAAGAACAGCATCTCCAGGGTTTATAAATGCATTGCAGATAGGACACATGAAAGTACACCTTTACACACTTAAAGGGCAGAGAGGGCAACACAAAAATATGCAGATCATGTGTTCTGCTAAAAATGGTTTCCCTTTAAAGATGTATTTTCACACAACAGTGCGTTTAATCAAAAATATTTTCTGTTTTTGTGATGTCTCCAAAAGGATGAAGCCTAATGAATTTGGAGATCCACTGCCTTTTCTTCCAGCACCACCAGCAAGTAAAATTGTATTTATAATATAAATATTTTAACATCTATAAAATTGATTGGCAAAAAACTTTTATGGTTTCCAGACAAAGAATCCTGATGATTTTTGTGATGCCCTGACTTCTACTATTCGATGAGTAACCATTTTGGAAATTTGGAGCAGACATGGACGTTCCCTACAAGGGGAATAATTTCGGATTCCAAAAGCGATCCGGTGCCATCGACTGTCCAGTACTTTGGTTTATCCAACATTTCTGCAAAACGTAACATAAGCCCAGTGTTGCCGACTCCTTTCCCCATGAAAGTAGAGGGCAGCACTGGCTCTGAAAGCTGCTAAACTCCCACTCCACTCCCCCAGAATGATCATTCTGAACGTAAACAATGAACATTGCTACAGTTAGTACTCACAGTTGTTAAGCTAGCAGCTTATTGAAGACTCCGGTGACAATCAGGTAGGTAGATAGACAGGCTTTTAACAGTTCTGTTACAGCCACAGATAACAGATGCTTTTTTTTTTGTCAGAGCATTTGATTCATTGATTGCTGTCGGGATGTAAAGAGAATTTCAACAAAAACAACAAAAAGCTTTGGGTAAATACATCAGCTATCCATCCCATATGATGTGAACTCTGCTATTGGCTGAATATACGTTGTGAATGGAAAACAGATGACAAACGGAGATCACACTTGTGCTTTGAGAGGAAAACAAGTGCCCATTAGCAAAGATATAAATATCTCCATAATAAATTCCAATACAATAAACAAACAGTGCAGACTAAGTACAAAACAATCACGCACGCCGTCAGGGGAAACAGACTTCTTTACTGGATAGAAATTTCGACTAAACATTTAGTAATTTACAGTACTGTCCGTCAAGCTGTCAGTAAAAGACTTGACGGGGCTTTGAACGGTCAAATGGAACATACAGACAAGGAGCAATCGTGATGGACAAAACAAACAAACGGTAAACAACGGTCTTTTGCGTCGTCCCTACAGCTCTTTGTGATGAACATGTAGTCAATACATATCACATATCACCAAATATCTTTCACAGCTAGGCAGCATCTTCCTGTCATAGTTTCAAGTTTCACTTCAAAATAAAGGTCCTTTACATCATTTCAGCCTGATCCCATACAATTGTGTGACATGTTTATGCGTCTGCTTTATTGTTATAATATTTTGTTGTTGTAGGTATGATGCAGTGTCTGGACATCTAGACTCTTCTTCACCAAAGTGGCTTCTCACTAAAACACAAAGGGAAGCACTGAGAGGCAAGCATTTCAAAGTGAAACGATGTGGAATTCACAGAGCCTGTGTGCAAACCATTCTCACCGTGCTACTACAGTACAGCACATTTCCACGAATGTAGGTCTCTGCATACTCTTATACAGGTACACAACACAAACACACACACACTCCCTTAGGCAGCTCTCCAGGCATGTCATTAAGCTAGAGGGTACTAGAGTTTCCCGTTGGCGAAGGCTCCCTCTTGGAACTGAGGGATGAAGCTCTTGAAGTACGCCCTGAGAGAGAGAGAGAGAGAGAGAGAGAGAGAGAGAGAGAGAGAGAGAGAACAGCAAATAAAACATCAAAATGTGACAATAATTGTGTTTCAACTGCTTCAAAGCATCCAACACATTCACTGGGTCAGTCCCAGCATGTATTAAAATGCAGATGGTGTTTACATGTTACAATTACAACAGTGCATGAGATATCTACTCTCCACGTGTTAACGCTCTGGAGGGAAACACAGGCGACTCATCTGCAAGTAAAAAACAGCAGTCCACAAGGTATTCAGCCACAGGTGGTGCATTCAGGGTTGTGTGCGTACGTGTCAGATGACACTCATGCAAATAGTTCATTTTTGGAAATATGCTTACTTTCTTGCAGAGGGATAGATCACTCTCATATCTGTTGGTTTAATTTGTTAGCTTAGCATCAAGACTCGAAGGAAGGGGAATTAGCTAGCCTGACTTTGCCCAAAAACTGCCAAACAGTTTTGGTTTTACAGGGAATTATGTGCGACTATTTCTTGGCCAGGCCAGTGACTTCCTGAAATTCTTTTTTGACAAGTCTAAATCTCCATATTTTCATTTAAAGCTGCTATTGGGAACTTTCATTTGTGTTGATTTTGACGGCCCATGTGGACAAAAGTGGCAGTGTTTCCATGAGTACCGCCGCATTCTGTCATAAAGATCTGCAGCGGCCAGACCCCTCAATTTACTGCAGCAGGGTCTGACAGTGTGCCTGGCTCAGTCCTGGTTCTGGTTCTTCTCTTTTCTCTCAAGCAAACCCAGCAATACGGCCTGGGCCTCCAGCAGCGTGGGGTTGGCTCTGCTTCATGTCGGAGCTCTGACTGCAGTAAAGTCAGATCTGGGTCTGTCCGCTGGTGAACCTGCATGCCGTAAATCATTTTGTCTGATGTCGCGGGGAATCAAATCCAGTGACGGGCATTCTCCCAAGAAATTGGTGAAAAAAGGCAGACTGACCCAAATGGTCAGCTTTCCATGTGGTAAGAAACAATAGTATTATCCCCGAAAAGCTATCAAAGGCTTTTCAAGCCTTTTATATCAGCAGTTTCTTTTTGTTGAAGTAGGATCACGCTGTATATGAAACGATAAGTATTATTCCTTAGGACTGTAGATGAACAGATAGTTTGTTAGTTGACTAACCAAGCAGTTACGTTTAGCGAAATTAGCTAATAGACAAGTTTTTTTTAGTTTGGACTCAGAGACAATTATTTGTAAATCGCTTCTTCAGTTTAGTTGGACAGCTTGGGGAGGTTCCACTGCTTGTCCTGACAGACATTGTTAAGTTAGCATGACCATAGTCAGAATGCCTACAAATATGAGAATAAAACCCAAGTCAAAGTTGTTATAGTCAAAAGAGATGGTCATCCAGATTTGTTTTTGAGGAGACATTTAGATGTATTGAGATGAACCAAAGAGTACAAAAAGAACACATTATGTATTGCTTTCCCAGCCTTTTTAGTCGCTTGCTCAGATCTTTCAAATATTTACAGCAGTCATTAACCTTCGTCATGCACAAAGCAAACACTTCTCAGGCTGCAGCTGATGCCTATAGATCTACTCTCATGGGGTCGTGCCAGTTTATGTTTACTGAAGGTGGAATCAAATCTGTGAGCATTGAATAATGGCCCGTGTGCAGTGCAGTCCAGACAATATGGTCCTATTGTATGATAGATCTAATGAAGCTCATACATGATATTCATCATGATAAATGACATTGTGTGACTTGTCAGAAACAGTTCCAGTGGGCTTTAATGGACCTTGTGGAGAACTGAGGATTTAAAAAGACCTGCAAAGCATTCTGTTGCTTTTTAGTTTTTAGTTGTCCACTATTTTATTTGAACTCTCTATGTGCAAAATGTTTTAAATTGAGGAATTTCCAAAATGCATTGGATCTAATGAGTCAGAATCCACTCACTTGGCCCTCTTTGCCATCTCATTGCCGTCCCAGCGAGGGCTGTAGGGATACGACTTCTGCACCTGAGAATAGAGCTGGCCGCTGCTGGTGAAGTGGTACACGGACTGGAAGGTGAGGGTGGGCTGGTCCCTAGGGAAGTACAGCGGGAGGTCCACTACGAGGGGCAGAGGGAGGTAGGGGGAGGAAAAAGAGGATTATGTGGTTACCGCTTCAGCTGTGATCCAGGCTGATCAGAAAAACAGACCTCGTGACTTTCCTACCGTGTACTAGGAAGCAAAAGTCCTTCCACATAAGTAGAAGAGTGAGTTTTGTGAATCCCTCGGCATCGTACTCCACCACGCCCCTGCAATGCACACACATTGGTTTCTTGCAAATCATTTCAAACCAACAGTACTTTCTTGTCAAAAGACAGAGCCAGTGATGAATGAATGCCCGCTGGACACATGCTGTGATCACTTCAGCGCACAATGTGGTTCTTCTCTAGTCGACTCACATTCCAAAGTGGCTGAGGAAGGCGGCGATGTACTCTCTCCTCTTGTGATAGCCTTGGATGACATACTGCACCTAGAGGAAAGAAAGTGGAAGGTTTAGCAAACACAGCATTTCAATATTAATTAATACAGCTAACCCCTCGCGACCGCATTTGGGGACCTTTATGATGGAAGTAAATGACGGCCATTCCCAAGCTTAAGTTGTTGCAGCAATTTTTGGGTTGATACTATTTGTTTCACAGATTTAGTGCTAAATTTAACAATTTTTTTTACCACTCGTAAATTATTAAAAATGAAAAAAACAAAATCCTTTTAAAATATTACATTAAGACACCAAGACCTTGAGGAACACCATGGGGAAATATATTCTTTGATTTGGTGTCAAAAACTTTTGACATTTGGAGATTTCGCCAAGAATTGTATTTTTCGGCAATTGGACAAAGACTTGGCTTCTGTTCTGAAACTGCTCAGAAACTTTCTTACAATCCATAAACAGAGGAAAGCCATAAATCCTCTGAATGCCCAGTTTTGTGATTAGCATAAAGTCAGTATGTCTGCGTGTATTGGTGTCATCAAAACACCGATATCTTCACTCAGAGTTGTCAAATGGTATGTGCTACACCCAGATTTTTAACAACATCTTTGCTCAATTAATATTTAACATGAATGTAAAGACCAAAATCAAAAGACACATATCTGTTGGAATGCAGACAAGCTGGGTAAAAAGGTTGAAAATAAGCTGTATAACATAAAGCAAAGTAGTTATTTAAGGTTGTGACTTCCAAATAAGTTGCTCCAGTGGTGCCGAAATCCTCCAGAATCATGATACAATTGAACATTTAAATGTAGACCGTGGCACACCCAAAACTGAGATTAAGACGTATTATCAATAAGTGCCAAAGGTCTGTTGACAATACATCCATTTGTTCACCAGTTTGACTGCAGTGGGGTCTGAATACAGGCCAGTGTTTATTTTGCTGGTTACAGGTCACGTTATCATATTGTCCTATAATTTATTGAAGTGAACAGGAAAACCTGAGGGAAACTGAATGACATCAGCGCAACACTCAAACCGTGTAACACGAAAGGCGAGAAATACAGCCACCAAAACTCTACCAGGAAGTTTGGAGTGATCAGTGGCTGTCTGATCAGATCTCACCAAAGATGGGATTGGATCCTTTCATGCAAATCCAGTATTCTGTCAGAAATTATTGACAGAGCGAACCTATGAATAATAATAATAAGGCCAGTTCCCAATCAGCTTCACAGACAAGTATTGATTGTACATCGAACAAAGGGCTAAATTATCACACAAGTATTATAATAACTGAAAACCTGGCAACAATGGGTCACTCCCTTAAAGGAAAAGTAGCTAATTCACACCCAAAGAGTCAATTGATTCTTCTGTAGGCTCTTTTTAAAAATGTAATTGCCGGAGGGATGTTAAAAGTTACCAAATACACAATCATTAACTTACTAACACTTTGCATTATATTGTACTAGACTGCCTTGTCTGTCTAAAAACAAAAGCATGACATCGTATGGTGCTACGGTAATCTAACTCCATAAAATAGGTCTATAGGTGCTTGATGTCAAACCACAGAGCCTAATAATGTAGAACGCTTTTTGACATTTGATTGGTAGAAAGTAAAGGAAGTAAAGGAAAACATCAACAGAAGGGGGGATGATGTTATTACCACACGATTATAGGTCCTAGACCCCTGGCCTGGAACAATACCCTCGCAGCGTTGCAACATCTTTCATGCATACCCTGTTTAATGAACAGGAATATTGCTTTCAATCTCATCAACTGCATTCCCCCTTTTAACCCCCCTCACCACATGTCCTGTACGCATGGTTTCAGGGTCTGTCTTACACTGAATCAGGCCTCTACAGGCAGAACTAACTCTCAGTCTGCCGGCCGTGCTGTACATACTAGCGGAGAGGCGTCGACAGCGAACCTACCCAGAATGTAAACAATGCCTCGGACAGTAGAGAGATTAAGAGAGCTGAACCTTCTTTGAAATGGTTGCTTTCACTTTAAAAGCAGAAGGCGCAGAGCACAAAAGTGGCATTACATGCAATCTTTGAACAGGTGAATTTAAATGTCACAGTACAAAGTCTCACCAAGCTTACCACTTGACAGCCAAATAAGCTGGTGTTAAGAGCTCTACTACCATAGGGTCTGTCAAACGCTCTCTGCTCGAGGCACTGTGTTCATTTTCGTAAGACTTTACATGGAGCCTCTACATTCAGGTTCTTAAATGTATTCTGTATTTTCATACCTTTCTCATTTCATATAAGGTTGTCTTTGTAGTACACTGACGGGGGAGGTCACAAAGAATGGCCGCTCATTGCAACATGAATTGTGCATTACTTGCAATCGCTATTTCCATAGACACTGCGTTAATGATATTACGGCGCAAACATGCAATTTGCCTTTTTTAAAAATTGCATCTGATTGCAATGTGGCGAAGGTTGTCTCTGCGTCAAGAATACAGTAGGGAGAACAATGGCGGAGGGGAAAAAAGATAAATGACATTTTGACCGACGAGGTTCAGAGGCCTTCCTCAAACCTTCAGACAATGTGACAAGACAAACTGTATTGGAGCTTTGAAATACCCAGTCACCCAGAACTTAATTGGCAAATAGCACAGGAGCACCAAGATGCTATTTGCTTGGCAGCGTAGTTTTGGGTGCATCGCACCCTTTTGCGGGTGCTTTGACACTTGGATGGTTCCTTTTCGTCTTATATGTGCAGGTTTAGCGGCTGCAAAAGCAGCGCAGTCCTTTTGAGAATTTGCCCCGTAGCGTATTGCCCCAACACAACTGCTACTTGTCAGCGATGGTATCATGAATACACATGAAAGCCTTTTTGCTGGGCGGCGACACGTTTTCAAAAATACTTAAGCATATTTAAAAACCAGCGAGTGAGTTGGACATTTTGAATGAAATAAAAAAACAAAGAAAAACTAAATTCGATCACATGAACTTTCCAACACAAGAACAGGTTTCTCCTCTCACATAACCGACATGTGCTTAGCGCATGTTGACAGGTGTGATGAAGTATTATCTTTCCAAAGAGGAGAAGCTCAGGGCTTGCTTGACTGTTGAGCATCCTAGGCAGGTGAGAAAGCCTGCAGTCAAGCCAGCCAGCTGTGAAGGTGACCTGCTGCATTCACCTCAGCAGGGATGGTTATGTATCAGTGCACCTGGGCAAGGCCGGCGAAGTTCAGATTACTAAACTACGCGGAAAAAACCTGCCGCAGAGATTAGACTATTTACACTATTTAATCAAATGTGAAATCCCACCAATGGGAATATTTTGAAGTTCTACATAGAGGAATGTTCCGAGAGGCGACTGCATTTTAGATCCAGTTTCCAGTCTCAAAATATCTGGATTCACTAAACTCCGAGGCTAACTAATCTCTTATCAAACCTTTTTTGCTCTTCACATTCTTAGTAGCATAAAGCAATGTACAAAACATCCATGTAGCGGGCTTATTCTTAGCCTGAGCTGACCCCCACTCACCAATCTCTAGAAAGAGATCCTGCATTTGAATGCAGAATCTGAAGGTAACAGGGGACAAGATTTATGGTATCGGAAGCGTTCTGGTTTCCACTTGTAGTCCGAGGAGTATCAACCAATCACGTTGGAGCAGGCTTTGGTTGAATGCAGGTAAACAGCCCGTGTGGAAAGCAAAAAAGGGGGGAACGGATTGGCCGAAATGCAATCTGGGAACCCCCCACCTATCGTCTGCTGAAGATTTTGCTTTTTTAAGCTTGAAATCAGCTTGTAAACTGGCTACTTGTGAACCAATCCGGTCGTACACCTCGCCCTCTCAACTCCATTCTCGTGTTTCAAGTTGCTGATCGGAATGTAAACAACAACCCAAGCACGGAGAAGGAGGTCTTGGCTAAATCGTCGTCAGACAGACAGCCGGTGGGTTTAGAGACTGATACAGCATCAGCTGAAGCTACTAAACATTCATGCAGTCACAGATATATGGTGGCTTTGCCGGGAAGCCTCAAGGGACAGTCTGTGTTGCCGATTTGGCAACTTTCTTGGTAGATTTAGCAACTTTTGGAGCCAGTGGTGCTAGCTACTTTTATTGGAAAAGGGTTGGCAACACTGGGCTGTTTTTTTTTTGTTTTTTTTTCTTCTCTTGCTCGTTTCTCAAGATTATCAACTCGGCCTTGAAGGTTATCTACCAGCTACAATTATATTTCAATCTCAAGCAGGTGAAGTTGTAGTGCTGTCCACCTCCTACGACCAGCAAAGGTAGAGAAAAATATATCTCTTAAAATGGCAAACATTATTTTTCTAATAAATTTCAGAATACAGCGATCATTTGGACAAATGGTGAACTTCTGGAAAGAATAAAAGTTTCAGGAGATAAACTGAGCCTCTGTTGAAGAGTAATGTGGTATTGGTACCAGTGCATCGACAGCACATTGCATAATAAAAGTAAAAGCATTGCAATATATTGCCATAAGAACACGTAGTAAAATGCTGGGGTTCATCTGAGGAGTGCATACATAATGAATAAAGCTGGAGACAGTGGTGCCTCACCCGCTTGCTACTGCATGGTTGTGATTACTCATCAGCCATGTATGAATAACGGCATTTTGTGAAAGAGGAAAGTAGTAATCTCTGATCTGTGTGTCTGTCTGTGTGTGTTTGTGTGTGTGAGAGAGACGGGTCTCATATCTGCAAGAGCTCTTAAACACAGACACACATTGTGACTCAGACTCCTGTTCAATTATGTTTACATGGGACAGTGGAGGCGGCAATTGAGCCTTCTCAAAAGCTGCAGGGCCACATACTAAATAAGCTGTTTATCTAGTAACGTGACTGTGTGTGTGTGTGTGTGTGTGTGTTATTCAAGGGAACTGTGGATCACTGAACTTTCGCACCCATACTGAGAAAGGACTCCCAGCCCCACCACCAGCGTCACCGGGACTTGCAGCCAGATCTCTCTATTGGCTGCCTGGAGGTTTGAGTGATGCAAGGCAGGTGATCTTGCTCTGCAGGTATTCAAACCTGCCTGCGAACCGCGACTCCCTCACCCGCTCGTCCACATATTGTGTCTGTGCATGTGTGGGGAGTGTGATGCAATAGCACCGGAAGTGCTTCCTGCTGTGTGATTGAGAAATCTCTCTCTCTCTCTGTCACATACGCATTCGCACCGCCCCCAGCTTTCATTTGTATAAAGAGTGACTGATCTGATGTCTGAGTACAAAACGCATTTTAAAGGATCAATGTCATCCTGATCTGATAAGATCCATCTCCAAATACTAAAGCAAAATCATTGGAAAAGACGTCAGAGCTTGTTGACTACTTGACATTTATGGATAAATAAAAATGTTTATTATGTTAATGAAAGGAGAAAGCACACACAGTATACTTTTAATTGATCTCAGCCAGAGCAGAAATGTCACATGAACCACTAGTACCACTGTTTGTACTGTACATGTCGGATCTGTAGTGTAAAACTGTTTATGTATAATCTCTCACATTCTGCATTTCATCTGCACAGTCTACTTTTTTTTCACTACCTACTGTTACTGCTGCACACATTTCATTCTGTTCATATCTAGGGTGTTAATATCTTCCCTTCACCATCTATTCTACCCTTTACTCTGAATATTACTGTTCATTCTGTACTTTACTCTGCACCTCTGGTTGGATGCTGGACTGCCTTTTGTTGTCTCAGCACAATGACAATTAAGTCGAATCTAATCTAATAGCATTTTGGACATTATCTTCGTATTTGCAACGAAGTATCATCCAGAGGTTAGAACTAGACCCCACCAGCAACCGCAACCTTTATTTGGATTTTGACTGAACTACACATCTGTAAAGTTTCGTGACTTCACCTCGCACAGTCGAGGTGCTATGGCGGTGACAAAAGTCTGTCCACAGTCACACACAAACGAGACTCACAAGGTGGAAACAATACCAGTGTCGCTGTCGCAGCTGGTAAGTAAAATGACTCACTGCTAAGTTTGCTCTCTACTCAGCTTTCTGGGAAATCCGCTCACACAGCTCATCACTCTTTTCGTTATGTACGGTGAGGAAGTCACTGTACAGATAATTCTGCCCAGTGATTCATGTGCTGTGCATTACTTTGGTGGCAGGGTTGCACTGAGCGAAACATAGACGTTTGTGTTGATAATGATCAGAAATAGCCCTCTTCCACGGAGTGGCAACCTGTGTGAATGTGGAAAATATTCAGTCCAAAAAAGAAAAACTAGGGTAAAGTTCGTTACAAAAAACATTTGAAACGGCCAGGCGACCACTACGATTGTTTTGCTAACCGTGCTTCTCTTCTTGCTGTCCACTTTGCATAGCATGTGTGAAAATGTATTTAGAATGCCAGCAATGAGAACACACATTGTGTAATATACCAGCTACGAACTGAAATGTTGGATTGATGATTATCTTGATAACACATCTGGATACAGGCACAGGGTGACCGCTCCACAAAAGCAAAGTCAAAACATCTCCATTCACCCCTGGTGGCTGGCTGCAGCATAGGTCATAAGCCCCGCCCCCATTCATGTTAGCAGATGGGACATGGGGCAAACTAAAAAAAATCAAAGTACACCTCAAATAAAGTTTTCCCAAAGATGGATTCTGTCATGTAAGGTATTTAGGTATTTATAGAGATATTCTGGTCAGTTGTGTCGTTCTAGCCAAACAGCTACCGATGCTAACGTAGCAGCTAGGTGCTTCAAACTAACGCGCTGCGGCCGTGCTCGTGATTGGCTTCGGGCGGATGTAGGGCGGGACCTCGATGCCGCGGCACCAACGCAAGATGGCAGCGCTTTTTACACAGCGTGAGGAAGTGGGGACGTGACGTCCATCTATAAATACCACTTATGGTGTAAAAACACCATCAGACAATGAGCTAGAACACACACGGTAAAGAGGAACCTGACAAAGTGGAAAAAGTAGCTGAAGATGACAACTTTAATTATACTGCTTTCACCTTACTATCACTATCATGTCAAGAAACACAAAAAGGATGATTTCACTGAAATAGTTTGAAAGCAACTAATTCCTGGTCCTGTATGTACATACTGTAGGAGATGACTGAGAAGCCCTCAGGGTCTATTAGGTCCTGGAGCTGATTTTCGTGAGTAATTCTTTAATGATGCAGACGCCAGGTGCTGCCACCATCGCCCAGCACAATCCTTGTCACAGCCACAGCTGTGAGCACAGTGTGCGGCAGTTAAGTTGTGTCAATACAATCACAGCATCTGGAATACGTGGGAGGGAATAATTGATGGTTTTAAAAGAGCAAAATGACTGCACAGCCCGTCCTCGAAATAATTACAAGAATGATGTCTTTTTCTTACAAGCAATAACAGATCCAAAGAAGCCGAATATTGTTTTGTGTTTTTGCTTAAATGTCCAGCTTCTGTCTTCCTCTGATGACTCTACTTATTACCTCTGCTTACTCGGGCAAAGCTCAGCTTACTTTCTTTCGGCTAGAAGTGACTCCAAAGAAATCTCAATGCTGCTTCTGCCACACAAATGAGCCACGTGTCTGCTAATTGCAGACTGGGTTAATTGCTACTGTATGCTGTCAGCCAACGATTAGTAACATTCTGAGATCCAAGAACAAGGTACAAAAATGGCTGTTTTATGACCGTTAAGTTCACAAAAAGCCTGAACTATATGGACCAAAACGATTGCTACAAACTCAAACAATAGGCGTGTAAAAGTCTGTTACAATGGTATGTAAAGTTCACTCGTCATCAGGGCATGCGAGCGGAGCGGGAGAATTTCCGCTGACGGAGCTGTTTGTTCCCTCCGCTCAGATTTCACTCCGCTCCACTCAAATGGCTTACACTATTTATTGGTTTATTTGATAAGGGACAGTGCACATTAATAAAAACATTGCTGGATATGCGCCAGAGTTAGCCAAGAGGCTATTTTTCATCTGCAGTCCCAGAGAAGACTTATTTTGCTCCAAAGAAGTCCAAAATCTGTATAGTATTTGGTTTTGGGCTGTAGGCTACCGAATGTCTTTTCTGTTTTTTAACAATCCAAGTATCTACTGAAGCTGTCTAATGAAACTTAGAATGTCTGTCAACACCATGAAAAAAAAAAATCCTTCGACAAAATCTTCAATTTAAATAAAATATAACAAAAGCTGAATATTTTGCTGGATATAAACATGTTTGGAAACGATTAAATCTGCCATCATTGTGACTTTTAGACTTCACAACGTTCTGGAGTTACTGGAAATGTTTGGATCACACAATTGTGAAGCAATCCTTCACAGCCGCCACGGGAATCTAATCCGACAATTAGTATAATATTAACAACGTTAGTGTAAGCTGATCTTTAGCTGCAACTTTGCAGAAATACAAGTTCTAAACAGAATGAATTGATATAGATGTTTAAAAAAAACAAAACTGCCAGCATTCAAATGTTGACTGAATTGAAATGTAAATGATATTCTGGGTGGGGATCGGCATGCTTCGGACTCACGGTGTGAGCGGTAGCTACCGGATTGAAATTGACTGAAGAGTTGCGGTGACATTGTGAGCAAGACTCCTCTTTTGCTTGTGTCACCGCCGCCTTTATTTGCTATTGACGCTGCTTTGCAACATGCCTTTCCGAACGCAGGCTGTGGCCTCCGTGACTCTTTCAGGGAGGCGGAGGGAGCGGTCCTGACACTGCTGGACTTAAACACCCGGAGACATGGAGGTCAGCTGGGGACACGAGTGTTCCAGGCACCCGGGGGGGGGGGGGGGGGGGGGGGATGTGGATAGGCATTTCTCCTGAGGGAAATGGCATTACATCGTGTCTACACTGCATATCTACCTGTCAACCTGCGGAGGCCAAGGAGCGCTCAGACAGCCTATGGAGGTTGGCCAGTACGCCCACGTCGGCAGATGCCAGATACACGTGCATGAGTGCCCATACAGACGTACGGACACGCATACACACACACACACACACACCTTGACAAAAGACATCCCTCAGTGGACACACGCTTTGCTGCACCAATGCTTACAAATACGCAATAAATGATTCCCAAACCTGTCACACACATTAAAGTTACTATGAGGAACTTTTAACTGACTATGAAACAGTCCGTATTTAACGCTGATGCCTCTTTATGACCTACATAAATAAAGGAGACCATCAGCAAGACGATTTGTCAGCGGCGCCACCTGGACGGATTCAGCTTGAAATCAGATGAAATGATGCAGATTCACCAGAAACTCCTTCAGCAACTAGCCCACCACAGACAGGACCCAGATCAGATCAACACAATTTAAAGTTCCTCATAGTAGCTGTAAGAAATCTTGCTCCTAGATAACATTCCTTAACATTAGAGGTTACAAACCGTTTGACATTGACATACACAAAAAACATATCTAACCAGGCTGTATAAAGGTTAAATGAGTTATATCAAACACTGTTACCTTGTTGTTGAGTAACTGGCACACTTGGGGGACATAGTCAATTAGGCATCCTCCACTGGGGAATGCTGGGATATGAAGTGCCGTGGAGCCTCCCAGAGCACTGATTGAATACAAAAAGACAACAGTTAGCCTGTAAACACACAAACTCAGATTACACAAAACATGCAGTTACTACCATGTTCTCTTTGCCACTATACAACAATTATTAGGACAACTCAAAGCTTTGTGTCACATCCTGCCTTCATGGAAATTTGTGTAAACCACTGAGCAAAACAAAACAAAACAAGAACCGAGCACTGCTAGTTGGCTACTGAAGTTCTGGAATTAAAAACATAGGAGTGGCTCATGCCTGTGGAATCCTCCTCATTCTCATTCACTCGTCAAGTTATCCTGCTTAAATCCTGCAGCACAGCTCCATTAGTGATTAGTGCATGCTTGTTTAATCAGGGAATCTGCTGCTGCAGCTCCCTAGTGACTAGCCAACCGAAGTAGTCACTCCCTCGTTTTTTTTCTGATCTGGGGTAAAAGAAACAGAGGGAATACCCTGAGGACGGGTTAAAGGTCTTAAGGAACCGCTCATTGGCTTTTAATGCTCATTTAAAGACACATAGTGGAGGGTTTCTTCTGCCGCTTTCTATTTTTATTTATCTTCATTATAGCAGGACAGTCGGAGGGCATTCAGAGACGCTATGTCGTTATTGTAAACGGCATGCTGAAGTGGATGACTGCCGTTTACCAGGTTAAGCATGCATGATGCATGTAAATAGTCCACATTATGCAACATTATGTCAAAGATCACGTATGTTGAGATGCAGGCCCTAAGGCTTATCCTTTAGCTGATCAGAAAGGTTATGAAGGTAAAACTCGACAATAGTGAGTCGCAGACCAAGGCCATGATCCCTCCAAATCCATCACATCATCCAAACGCTGTTCTGAAGTCTTTTTGAACCAAGTCCAAGTCACGCCTCAAGTCTTTGAGACGCCAAGCATAGTAGGAAAACACAAAACACTCGTTTTTCTTTAATGGGAACTAGGCATTTAAGGTCCAGTTCCAAGTGTTGGATCATTAATCACATACAATCATACTTATCTGTTTGGTAACATTAAGACCAGGATAAGTGCTGATACTGAAGAAGACATTTTAGGAAAAACTATTGAAATCAAGCAACGCAATGCACAAGGGCTCAGACCTGAAGCCGCTTGAGAAGTGAAAAAGTCAAGCTTAACTACAGGAGCAGCTCTTATCACAAGCTTACAAAAGAAACTGTCGACAGATTTAAGTTGACTCACTATATTTAAAATGATCAATACTTTTTACAAACTATTCAGTACCAGTTGAGTTCATTTAAAATCTTAAGGCAGCAGTAACTCATATTTCTACGTTGAAACAACCTTATATTTCTACAGCATATTCATAGTTTTACAGTGTAATGTGACCAGCTTTCCATAAAGCTAGCAGTGCTGCACACAAATGAGTCCAAGCGCATGCTATTCATTTTAAAGGTCAGTAAGATACACATCTATAGAAGGAGAGAAAGCAACATTAGAATCTAAAGGCCTTTGCACACCAAGTTTGTACACACTTAAAAAAATAAATGACAATCACATTTACACACCGACAGGTTTAATTTCGTATCCGTCAGAGTTGTTTGGCCGCTCAGAGCCACCGTAAATGCAAACATCATCTGAAATAGCATCTGGTTTAATTGGTTCATTCATCACCCAGCACAAAGCGCTTTACGACAAACAAAGTGAGGAATACAGAGATGCATGAATTTAAAGATAGATTGTGGCAGGTGATGGTAGAACAGCTTGGAATGGGAGATGGTCGTAAACAAAGGATGTACGAAAGATTAGACAGTAGTGATTGAGCTCTCGGCAGCTAAACGACAGCTTCTTGATAATGTCATTCATTTATTAGCCACATTTGGGGCTAGCGCTATCCATTGAAACCATGTAATTAATTCAGTTTTGTCTTGTTTTAAAATGTTTCAGAACAAATAAAATAATAAAACACATCACACTCAGTGTGCAAGGTGCCTGTGCGCAACTGTTGACGGATAAAAGAAAAAGCATAATTACACAGATTTGGTGTGCAAAGACCGTAAGTTTGTAATGTCATCAACAAATTACCAAAGATTAGTGCAGATTGAGTGCACAAAAAAGGTCATCTCAACATTTATGCTGTATGAGCATTAATACAAAAAAAACATAATTAGAAAATTCCCCTCTGATGTGGCATAAAAAAAATTGGTTGATCCTAATAATTAGTACAGTTGTCAAATTAAATCATAATAATAATCTTAAATATTAACAAAAAGGAAAAGGAGCTCTTTCAATAACTAAATGCAGGAACCAGCGCATATTGTAAATAATGTGTGCATCAGAATCATTTTCATAGCTTTGGAGAGGAAAATAGACAATATGTTTGAAACTATTACGCTACTCATTTATGTGTAAACGCTAATACATATTGTGAATTATGGATGATTATTGAATATGAATTTAGAGTTTTTTCCATTTTATTCTGGAGCCAGCAGCTGAAGGCGTTTCAGCTTCACCTTGTTTCTGAAGGTGTGCATTAGGTTATTGAGACATTGCATGAATCCTGGTTATGTTATAAATGATTCATGAAGGTTTGGCAGGGATCCAAAAGACATAGATTATTCAACAGAGCACTTTTTCAGTAGTTATGGGCAGCTTGCCTTCAATTTGGGTCTTAAGAGCAGACGGGTCGCAAGACCACAGCTGTTCATCATTCCTCCGCAGCCACTACGAAATTTTGTTCATGGTGTATGACAATGTTTGTATTGGTGTATGAAAAGGTTTTCCACCAAAAGCTGAACGGCAGTGACTGACACCAAAGTTATGAGGATTGCACAATTTTGAAAATTCCAAAGAAAAGTCGGGGGAGTAGTGAAGAGGGAGGTGGAGCACATCATCATGCGCTCCACCTGCCATCATTACCAAACACCACAAATGTTTATGGGGAAATGACGTCCTAACAGAGTTCAGGAAAAGGTCAACAGGGACAGGACTCAGCCTTGACTGGCCTGGGAGGAGTATTTAGAATAACTAAAGAAGGTGTTCTCCTGCTCCGACTAGAAAACAGCTGGTTTCTCATCAGCTGCTCATCTGAAACATAGAAATACTGATGAGTCTGGATTTACTCAAATTGACGAAAGATAAGAATCCCATCCATCCACTAAGTTTCAAATGCAATAACAGCTTTTACTAAGATCCCCGGTCCAAGTTTTGTCTTTTTGCAAAATGATACTCAACTGAATATTAATAAGGTCTTATTCACAGAGATGTCATACAGACTGTCATGAATCCATTTTCACTGTCAAAATCCTTTTCTCCAGAACTCCAAAGCCACCATTTACAGTAGGCTTTGTGCACATAATTAGCATTAGCTTGTGCATTTTGCCGTGCACCAACAAATGGTCGATTGAAAATGGCTTGCAGCAAAGAGGAGAGAAGCCTTTGAAAATGAGAATCTGAATGATGCCCATCTATCCTCCCACAGGTCTAAGAATAGCTCCATATCATTCAGATGGAAATGCAGACAGAGGCAAAAAAAAGATGGTGGTGGTGTGTTCGTCACTCATATGTGTCAATGGCAGGCATGTGAACAGAATGTCATGCATTTTGGATTTCAATGGTTTTGCTCCTTGAACGCTCAATTGAATGGAGGCTGACGTGACACCGACCTCTTGTAGAATCTTACAAAAGGTCTTCCAATTTTCACACACTCAGTTTTAAAATAGTGGTTTTACTTTGACCTTACTGGTCTAGTCTAAGAGTCCAAATTTACATTTACCTTTGACGTCAGGCCATGGTCCACATGTAGACCCACTTGAAACTCATTCAGTTTATTTCTATCCATCCATTTTGTCTGTCAGTGGATTCAAACCCAGCTCATTGCTGTGAGGAGACCATGCTTTTATTCCACACTTAATAAATACTTAAGTGAGCTAAAACCAAGAAACTTTGTGGCAAGAGACATTTAAAAAAACAACATTAAAAGCTTAGCAAAGACAGTTACTACTTCTGTCAAGCTAATTCAGGCAACCAAAGCCATTGTTACAGCAGAACATGTAATCAGACGTTATAAAAAGCACAGGGCCATAAAACAGCTGCACAGCTGGAATTTAAGTGTTTTTCAAGCTAGGTTTCAACGCAGTACTTGGCATACAACTTCCACTTTCTGTTTTCAATTTAAGTTAAATAAATTGAATTTCATCATTGTCAGCATGCTGTGAAGCAGATAGCTTCCTCTCAGGCAGCTCAAGCTGATGCATGATAGTCAACAGATGCGCAAGGCGATGGTCACATGATCACCAGGGCTGGTACCAATGAGCTACTTTTAGTGTCTCTACTCAATAGGAAGTGGAAAATGTGGTGAGGGGGGGTTAAAACAATGATGAAAATGAATGCAGCCAAATATCCTGACTTTTAGTACCCTGATGTGAGTGAAGCTCTAAAGAAATGCTGCATCTTACATTCCCCATAATGCAACCAAAGGCAGTATTTTGGGGGCGTCTCTGCAGGACGGAGCTTCAGTTGGCGGCTGCCTCAGCTTGGATTCAACCGGCAAAATCCCCAGCGGGCCGGTGGAGTGCTGGGTCTAACCTGTAGCACCTGCAACAGGAAGTCTGCCGATCCGGTGGGGAGTCAGGGCAGTCCCCCCCAGGATCAGACACTGTTGCTGGGGTTTGCTCTGGCCGAATTCGGGGCTAACTGATAACGGTAGTTCGGGCCCGTCTCCCGGAGCTGCTGCACGCTCTGCTCTCGTCAAAGAATTCTCTTGATGGTGGGGAGGCAAGGGTGCAAGTCTTTCTCGTTTGTGCCACCTTGGATTTAATCTAATGAACAAACTAGCAAAACGTACACGGACCTCGGATGTATTATTGACGAGACCTGGGTGCAGCTCTACTTCTCCACTCTCATGTTGGACAGAGCGCAGACTTGCAGACGCTACAGTGACGAACTTTCGCCTCACGAGGTAGAAGTGGTACGGACGGCGAGGGCTAGCTGGTTAGCATGCTCATTTAAGTAGATATCTCTGCAACACAATACACAGACGTCTTTGACATA